CACATAGTAGGTGCTCACTACAAGTGTGCTGAGTGAACTGACTGTAAAAGAAGGACTCTCCTTTTGACTCTGACCATGACACACTGCAAAGCTTTTTCTTCTCTGGTTAGTTGGATGTAGGACACTTATTTCTCCTTACCTTAATGAGCCTCCTGGATGCTAGATTCTATTTGTACTGCTAGTATTTAAATTTCACTATTGCTAATAAATTATCCAGTATCTACTAGGTGCATAGAAGATACTACCTTACATGTATTAACTCATTTTATTTGCAGAAAGATCAGAGATTGACATGGGTTCTAATTGGGTCCATTTTACCAGTGAGACAACTGAGGCTCAAACAGATTAAACAACTTGCTCAAGGTCTCCTGTGTGTCATGGATCCAGGAATAAATTCAGGCAGTGTGGCACCAGTGTCCGCTTTCTAGGCTTTGAATTCCTGGATCTAAATTGCCACACTGCATAGACCTGTCTGAGGCCTACCTGACCGCTGGAACTATAGCTCTTGCCCCTCTGGGCTGGCCCTACCCTAGAGTCCTTGCTCCTCTTAGCAAACTAGGTCCCTCTTGTCCACCCTAGGGAAGGCTGGCCACTTCTGCTCTCTTCTGTTTTGACAGGAATCAAGACTATCCTGCAGTGAGGCTACGGAAATTCCCATCTGCTTTCTGGGGTGGTCTAGCATTTGGATGGACACCAAAGGATACTTTTTAAATAACTCAGTTTTTTGAAAAGGTGACTGATCTGAAGTTACTTGTTGTAGTAAGTTTGAGAGAGGGGAAGGTGACGGCTATAAGATTTGTCCAAGTCAAATTCCTTCTACTCCCATGCCAACCAGACACTGTCTTTCCTACAAGCACCTGCCAGACGTCACTAAGTAAAAATTCAAAGCTGTTGTACTCACAGTGAGAAAAAAAGAGGAACAACTTCAAACTTGCCATAAATGGGATATGACTTTCAACAAAGAACGGCTCTGCTTCCTGTTGGGCAGTAACACCGAGCTGCTTAGAACAACACAATGATAGGAAAATGTTGAGTAGACCACAATAAATCAAGGAATAAACAGGGCCCAGGTTTTTCTTTAAACCAACATATGTGGTGGGGTGGGTTGTAATGTTTTATTTATATTGCCATGCAACGGAGGGGAAAAAATGAAGGTGATTTCAAGTCACAGGAATATATGCTATCTGATTGCAGTGACTGACAGATGTAAGGAAGAGTTTCATGGTAGACATCAACCATGATACCAGTAATTAATTTACTAGAGTCAAAGGCTAGGCTTGGTTTTTGTTTTAAAAATTCAGTGGTAAACATAGTTGGTGGCCCTGGGCCAGGGAGGGCTATGCTGACTCTCATAGGAACTGGCTGGATGTTTAGAAATCCAGGAGCAGAGCTGAAGGAAACTTAACCCAGCTGCCAGACGGCTGTGAATCAATCTGTCAAACTGATCAGAAAACATACCAACTGCCTCTGCCTGCCTTCTCCTAACAGGACAGGAATTGCTGTCACCTAGGGAAAGAAAACTCATACCACAGAAAGGCAGAATCTAAGAGTGTGTGCACATGTTACATTTTAAGTTACAGCTGAGGCCTGCCCTTCCAGAAAAGCTCTCCAACTGGGAAACAAGAGTGTCAGAAGCTAGGGTGGGGCTTTTTTGTGATTAAGTTCCTTTTGGGAAGATGGACATTTGCATATTTTATCTCACACAACTGCTCTTCCCCAAGTTTTTAGGCACTTATTTTGGTTTGCTCCTTTTGTTTGGTTGTACAGGTAGACATGGAAAGCTGCTTAGCCTGCTGCTGTTCCTGCACCTGGAGAACCAGGGGCGAGGGGTCCCCACATTTCCCTACTGGACTTTTCTATGCAAGCAAAGAACAATGTATAGGGAAGGAGCATGGGCCCAGTCTCCAGATGAAGTCAATAACTGATTATGCATATCAAAAAGCTATTCATGTCTATTTTTCTAAACTGCAGATTCATTAATTCATTCGACAAATATTTATTGATTGTTTCCTATGTGCTGGGCTACTGTTCTAGGGGCTGAGATGTAGCTGTGAATACAACAGAAACAAATTCTTGCTTTTAGAGGGCTCCAAGTTCTAGCAAGAAAAATCCACAAGTATAACTTGAGAAGATAATGTGTAGTTATCCCCAAATGAAGCCAGGCCGCAAGTCATTTGGCATACATATGTACTACTCACCAATATGAAGGAAATCTGGAGAAAGAGAGCTGACATTCATTGAATGCCTCCTGTAATAGGCACTTAATAAAGAATATAAACAGCTTTGAGCACTTACTATATATGAGGCTCATAGAAAGTTGAGGTTAGATACTTTACATAATCCTTTTAATCCTTTCAATAACTGTATTACTACAGTTGTACAGATGAAAAACCAATTGCAGGAGTAAGAATAATGTGTGAGAGCACCACCTGGTTGAGACCTCTGCACTTTGGCCTCTGGCTTCATCATTTGGTTAGCGGCTCACATTCCCCTTTCTCTGCTCCTCCAATGGTATGTACCAGGGGCTTGCCTCTGCTTACCTCCATCCTGAGTCCTTTAAGAGTCATTTTTCTGCCTTTGTCTTCAAGAGACATTTCCAGGCTCCTTACCGTTACTATGAACTCTTCTCTGAACTCCTTAATTAGATCATACATGAAAAAGGCTGTTTGTGACCTCAGTGGCTAACGATGGGAAACCTCAAACTTGCTTTCTTGCCATGTTTTTGATCAACAGTGTGAAATGTCACTTGATTATATATCTATTTTTGTTCTTCTATAAGCATTGGTCTCCTTTCCTCAATTAGACTAGAGGTGTAGGGAACAGTGTATTATAGTTATAAATGGTTCTGTATTTAGTAATTGTTGAATAGCACTTCTTAAACTTCCCCTTCGATCAGAATTACTTGGATGGCCTGTCAAAATGGATTGCTAGGTCCCTTCCCTAGTTTCTGATTCAGCAGGCCTGGGAAGGGCTGAAAATGTACATTTCTGACAAATTCCCCAGAGATGCTGATGCTGCTCGTCTAAAAGCTGCACTTTTGAGAACCCCTGGTTAACTGAATGTACCAAAGTATTTTGAGTAAATAGGCAGGGTTTGAGTCTCACCTCTTCTAGTCTTAGGTGTGTGATCTATTTGAGCTGCTATTTCTTCATCTGTAAAAATGGGGGTAATGAACATCAGTACTGTCATGAGGATGAACTGTAATACTGAATTTAATGTGTTTAGTGCTGTCTGTGACACACTGAAAACATCCAGCAAGTGCTTCCACTTGTGCCTTGAAAGGCTGGCACAACATCAGGTATTAAATAAGAACTGAACCCAGCCTAATAACTCCTTCTCAGGCTGAGATGAAACTTCACTTGAATTTGTAAACAATCGGAATAAAGGGCATCACTGTGGCATGATTTCTATAATTAACAGCTTTTTAGCCTATAAGGGAGAGGGTATGTATGTGTGTATGGTGCTGGGGATTGAACCTAGGGCCTCACACATGCTAGGCAAGTGTTCTACCTGTGAGCTATTGCCTAGCCCTTTTTAAATTTGATTTTGAGATAGGATCTTACTAAGTTGCCCAGGCAGGCCTGGAACTTGTGATTCTTCTTCTGCCTCAGTATCTCCACCAGCTGGGATTACAGTGTGGACAACCAACCTTGGGTTAAGTGACAGGTTTTACAATTAAGTCAGACTACTACCAAATGGAGTGCGGAAAGAGTCTGAGAAGTGCCCCTTGGTATAGTTTGTTGGATATAGTGCCCCGGGCACAAAACTTAAAGTGTCCCTATAATGCAGAGGCTGTCCACACTGTGCCTCCTCATCTTTTACTGCTGAAGAATGCTGAAGATGGCCTTTGGAGAGCTTGCAGTTGTTAAGGTAGCCCTGACATCTGGACTAATTGGTTGGCAGCCACAAACGGATCCCTGCATTCAATAATTAATCACTTGCAGTTATGGGAAGACAACCTCCTCAGAGCAACAGGATAACCTCCTCCTCTAGCCCAGGGATTTCAAAACACTCAGGCCCCTGCCACTTCTTCCCCCATTTAAGTACCTCTTCACCGAAGGAGACTTGCATTTTCCCTCAGGCTCTATCTGAGCAAACCTACTGGCTGGCATTCTCCTAAGAAAGCCTAAGAGACAGTGAGCAGAAAAAGTCAGTGTTCGGATTTTTCTCACAGTTCTCCAGGGCCCGGGACAGAGTATCCGGGGAGCTAGGGATGGTCCAGTTGAAAAAAACGCCCTAATAATGGCCTATCTCTCTGCGAGCTGCTGTCCCTCAGAATGTTGTCAGTAGAATAAAACACTGCAAAGTTGAATGAGATCATCTCCGGGGGGCATTAGCATTTAGCTGAGCTGGGGGATGGGGTGGCTGTGGTGAGGGCTGTGGAAAACCGAGGCTGCTTTTTGAAAGCTCTCGACTCCCCACCTTCACAGGAAAGCACTCACCCCCTCCTCATCAAGCGCAACCTTCCCCTAACGCCCAGAAAAAGATGACCCTTCCCACCCCCGTAGTTTGTACCCCTACCCCTTATTTCCTAAGCACACCCCCAGCGCAGGTGCTGTCCACACACTTATGAAGGGCGCCACCCCAGGTGGCTCAGGGTAGGGATTCCCTCCCAACTCCCGGGCCAGGCCGCCTGGCTCCGGGGGGAAGCAAGCGGAAAGGGGGTGTGTGTGCACACGAGGCCGCGTCCTGTGGAGGCGAGAACTGGGGACCCGCACCGGCCGGATGGTAACAGCCAGGCAGAGGGGTCTTCCCGGGGAAGAGCAGCACCAGCTCTCCCTTCTCATCAGTTCTCGCTGCTCATACCGCGGTCTCTGACCTCTCCCCCTCCACCCGTCCCCTCCCTCTTTGTCTGCCTTCCCGTCTCAGCCAGTTTCACACCCTGCCCTCTTGGAGAGCCTGGCTGGACTCCGGGGAGGCCACCTCCCAGGGGGGACCCCCGACCGCGCCCCGCCCCTGCCCGGCCCAGCCCTGCCCGGCCCAGCCGGCTAGAGTCTCACCCAGAAAAGCAGGTTGAAGCCGAGCAGCAGGTACTTGATGCACCGCAGGCCCCCGCGGAAGCGCCCCATTCTGCGGCGCCGGCGGCGGGCTCCCGAGTCCCCTGGCCCGCGCCACGAGCTGGGGGAGCTACCGGCGCCGGCGGGGAGGGCGGGGCGGAGCGGGCCAGTTTGGGGGCGGGGCCTGGGCGGGGCCTGGGCGGGGCCTCGGGGACCCCAAGCAACCTGCTGGCTGGCTGTAGAGAGCTGCGGGGATGCAAATTACGGTACCCAGGCACCCCCTTCCTTCCTCCGGATGCTCAAAGCACCTTCCTTCCCTCCCGGGAACTCCCTGAACACCTGTGAGGAAGGCGCGTCCGCCTGGGACGCAGGACCCTTGTAAATCCATGCCCTGTGCCCAAACTCCCTGGAGGTCTGCAGTGATGGTTGAGGGATAAAGACGCTGCCTCGGTATCTATGGAAACCGAGGATGGTGACTTCGGGTAGAAGAGATGAGTGGAACCACGACCAGGCTCCCGGCCAGTGTCCGCGGCCTTGGTGCGCGGCGCTCAGAGCGCGACAGGCCGAGGAGGCCGCTGCAGGAGACCCTGCCTCCCCCGCGCTCCGGAGAGGGCGCTCTTGCCTTAATAGGCAAGGACCAAGAAGCACGGAGGCCGGCCTCCCCCCGCCTATTCTGCACCTCTCCTTGCTCCGAGGCTCTGCGAGAGGAGTCAATTCCTCATATCCTGCGGATTCCACCGATGGGAGGGTTTGAAAGCAATCCAAATTCTCAGTTTTAATTTTGCCGTGGAGACGGGAGGAAAGGGCGGGTGTGGTGTCTGTTTTGCTTTTTTTTTTTTTTAATTAGGCTACTAGCAGGGAAATCAGGCTCCCACTTGGTTGACTAAATGCCTCCAATATGTCGTGTCAGACAGAATTGGGAAGGCAGGAAAGTGTAAGATTCTGGGAGTTCAGGTATTAATTCAGCAATGCTCTAATCGCCTATTATAAATGAGGCATAATAGCAAGTCCCAGGATCAATAAGACGACAACTGGGCCTGCTACCACGTTTCTAGTGGTGGAGACAGATTTGTAAGCAAATAGTTGTAATAAGGTGAGAAGAATTGGCAAGGAGCTAGGCAAGTGGCTGGCCTCTATGTATGCACCAGAAAGGGCTTTCCTAAAGCGAGTGGACCTGGTGCCCACGTGAAGCACGAGACCCAGCAAGAGGAAGAGCAGTCCTTACAGAGAGCAGGTGCAGAACTCCAGGGCAGGAGAAAACAGGGATCCTAGGAGAAGAAGAGAGATGCAACTTGCCCAGGTGTGGAACAGACAGCTGAGAAATGTGTAACAATATCCTATCGTGGGCATCGGTTTCCTCATCTCCAGCATAAAGATGATAGTACCTGCCTCAAAGAGTTGTAAAAATTAATGAGTTAGTACCTCTAAGGTGCACAGACTAGTGCTTGGCACAGAGTAAGTATTATCAATACAGGAGTAGCTCTTGTAGTATTGTACTCTATCAGCCAACCATTCAGTCTCTACCTTGTTCCATCTTTGAGCATATGGTTTACTATCTAGTGAATTTATTTATGAAAATGAGTAGAAGAAAGAAAAATGAAAGTACCAATTATGGTAGTAAGTGTAACTTTCATGCAGTGAATGAGAGACAAAGATAGAAGTCATTAGATATGCAGAGGCAAAGCTTCAGTTTCAGTCAAACTCAGCTCTATATTTGTCACCTCTGTTTTACTATCAAGGAAAAGAACTAAATTACTGTCTAGTACCTAGCAGGTATATAGTAAATTAAGGGAATAAACAGTAATAATATTATGCTTTAAGTTGAATTTTATAACTCGAAGACAAAATACATTTAGACATCATATATTTTATATTTTCTGTGAACAATACCCCTCTTATGATATATAAAATCACTGTTCTTTCATGGTATAGTTTTAACACACATATATTAGAGACAGATGACTACCTGCCTAACCTCAGTTTTAGATTTTGAGTAAAGATTTGCCCAGTCCTTCTTTTACAAAATTGTATATCATAGGGGAAGCTGGCTCTTGACAGGAGTAGGCTAAGATAATCTTATTCACCTTGTAATTAGCTCAGAAAACAAACTGACAAGTGTCCTGGCTAATGAAATGGAATGGTGTTTACTGTGGCTGGATTTTTTTTCTTTTTCCTCTCAAAGTTGTTGAGTCTGGGTGTTGTATTTGAAGCTTATGTATCCATTGTGGGACCAGTGTGAGGACAGAGTTCATACTGAGGACAACACAGCAGAAAATTGAAAAAACCCAGATCACTGATGACATGACTCTAACTTGGAGCCAGCCAATCTCAAGCCAACTGTAGTCTAGATTTTTGTACATATATATGTGTGTACATATATGTGTGTGTATTATAGCTGAGAGGCATCCTACCTAATAATGCATGTTCAAGAGTATATTATTATATGAAAACAGAGGCCTAATGGGAAAATTGGTGTTTGAACTAATTGTTACTGGCAATGCTCCTTCTTTTCCCCTATCTTTAACTCAGATGTGACCTGTGAAGCTATAGAACTTGGGACTATGAAGACAGGGCAAGAAAATTGTAGCCCTTCCGCCAGGAAATCATTTGGCCATGGAACCAACACCAGCATCTACCTACCTCCAGATTTCTTTTTATACATGAAAAATAAACTCTTTTGTGTTTGACTTTATGTTCTATTGCTTGTAGCTGAAATACTTCCTGATAGGAGGAAGACAATGTTTTCATTCTGGGTCTTCTGACTTTTAGATCTGTTGGGAAATTCAGATGGAGTGAAAATATGATTTGGATTCTTGGGAAAAAAAATTGAGCTTTTAAGTGTAAAGCAAAGATTCATTAGCAAATACATTAACAAAAGCCAATAGTCTTCAGGCTTTGTACCATACATACCCAAAAGAATGAGGAAAAAATATTTCCTTTTGTACTTTTCCTTCAAAATTTTACTGTGACTATTTTTAAATGTACAGAAAGTTGAAATAATTTAGGAGTGATCATCATATACTTACCACTTAGATTCTAAATCGACATTATGCTTTAGTTGCATTATTTATCTACATATCTGTCCCATTGGTCAATTTGTCTTAGTTATTATGCATTTTTTAAAAAGTCTCACACCTAATCTCTTCAGCATACATTACATTAAATGCAGTTCCTATATCTGTTTCCAGTTTTTTAGATAAAATTCACATCAATGAGATGTGTACATTTTAAGTATACCATTCCATGGTTTTTGACAAATACTCAAACCCTGTTAAGGTGCAGAACATTACTATTGTCTTGAAAAGTTCCTTTGTATTCTTTCCTACTCAGTCTTACCCTACCTCTCTTAGAGGCAAGCGTTATTTTGATTTTCTTTCACTGTAGATTAATTTTGCCTGTTCTAGAGCTTCATATAAGTGGAATTTTACACTATTCTCCTTCACATTTAAATTGATATAGAATTTATTATAGCTTTGAATATTTTCAAAAGGCATCACTCCTGATGAATCTTACATATTGGCTTTTAAAATAATATGACTCATTTTAATATATCCTGTAGAAAATAATACCAGTGTGATTTGCTATCTATTGTCATGTCAAAAACACACACTCAGGCTCCTCTTTAACAGCACGGGAATTCTACATCTTTCCTTTTCCTTCTTGAGCATTGTTACAGTTTGTATTTAAATGTCCCCCCGAAACCTCATGCAGTCATGGGGAGTGGGCCTTTTGAAGGCAGCTGCGTCTAGCATTTGTGATTGGTTCATTGTCTAGCTCTGGGATTGGCCATGTAAGTGCTGCACCTTGCACCCAGGGGCAGGTAGTCAGCATAAAGGAGGGAAAGAGAGGTGCTTTTCCCTTTTGCCTCTTTTGCTCTTGTCTCTTGCAGCAGCCATGAATGGTTACCACTTAGCTGGTTACCCTTTAGCTGCCACCCTCCTTGGAGCTAACTGACTTCATGGCCTGAACTCTCCACAAACTGTGAGCTAAATAAACCTTTCCTTCCCTCATTTTGAGTATTGAGTATTTTGTCCCAGCAATGAGAAAAAAAATAACCAATGTAAACATATATTTTTATTCCACAAATATAATCCTAAAATAATACATTTTATACTTGAAAGATTTTTTTGAATGTCCTGTCATACTTGTCTAGACAAATATTGCTATAAGGTGGTTGAAACAAATTAATTTCCATCTTGAGAATCTCAGTTAATTAATTTCATCTAGGTTGTGTCATTGTTTGCACAATTAGTTTTAGTACAGAACGGATTAAAATAATAAATGCAATTTTAAATGAACAATCATAGGAATAAAAGCAAAATATCATTTGAAATGTTTCTCTTAAAGTAATTGGTGGGGTTTGTATTTTTTTTCTAATAGCTCCATGAATGGAAATTACTTATCACTAGAACAACAGAGAGGTCAGCATAAGTTCTCTTAATTTTTTTGTTGATTTAATATTAATGTTGAGGTATTTTGCATAGACAAACAAGTAGATGAGGACAGAGTTGTTGTAGCAATGCTAATCAATTCTTTAAACTCTTTCTGAATTACATGTACTATTCACATATTGATCTATCATCAAAACTTTTAATGATTGATTCATTTAATTGATAATTCCATTTGGTCTTCTAGTTTATAAAATATAGTGATTTAGCTTCTCAACATTTTGCAGGTTGGTGGCCTAGGGAGTTTTATACCCTAAGAAAGCATATCATAGTCACATTTAGGATGGATGAGAGGTAGCTTGAGGAGATGTCATCTCTCATATTCTCAGGCAGTCTGATTCTAGGGATGAATATGGATGGAAATTAGGGGTCTGGAAATTGATCTTCTTAAAACCATGCAAAGTAGGAAACCCTTGGAAAAAATTTCTTATATCAGTATACAGCCGTGCCCCAGAGATAGACAGCTGTTCTAAGCTATGAGAATGTATGATCTGCCCATGGAGAATGTGCCAAGTGCTGAAACAAAATTTTAGAACAGTATCTTTAAGAAGTGAGCAAAGGAGATGTAACACTGTATTACTTTTTTGTCATAACAAATACCTGAGATAAGTCAACTTTTAAGGAGAGATGGTACATGTTGCCTCATGAATTTGAACACTCCAGACCATGATCAGTTGGCCCCACTGTGTGAGGCAGGACACTATGAAGGAAGCAC